ACCCACCTGCGCAAGAAGTGGGCTGAGGGTAAAACAAATCCCAATTAACCCAGTAAGTGGCTTTTGTTGTCTCTTGTTTCAGGACACATGAAATAATTAGTGTTTAGTAGACAGAGAACTCTGAGTGTGAAGCTGGATGTAATCATATGTCAAAACACAGAAACCTCAGGAGAAAAAAATAAATGGTGTGCCTGGTTGGAAAGGAGCAATCATTCTGGATGGGTTCTCCCTGGGAGAGGGGCACCAGTTCCAATCCTATGTTGTAATGCTATGGAGATCAGGACAAGGTAGGCTGGGAATTGCCATGAACCTGGATGCAGAGTGGGGCCGAGTAACTGGTGTTCCATGGCAGGCCTGTGCTTGCTGAGTGTCACCCATGCATCAGGCACATTAGATCACAAATCTCTTGTGAGGCAAACACTCTGCTAATCCCCATGCTGTTGATGGGGAAAGTAAGCCTGGGCAGTTCCATAATTTGCTCAAGGACTTGAGTTCATGTCGGTCTGATCTAATCCACTCTCTCTCTGGCCTTGTGCTTACTCTCTAGCCAGGGGAGTTGGGCTCCTTTACTCAGTGCATACTCCTTGGCTCTCCATCATACCAGGCAACGTTGACCTCAATGGGCATTTTCTCTGGCCCTCTTGACCTTCGACCTCATGCTCCCTTGCTGTTTTGGTTTGGATCTAGAATGTCCCCCAAAACTTGTGTATTGAAAGCATGGCCCTCCAGAGCAACAAGACTCAGAGATGGGGTTTTAGGAAATCACTAGATCCTGGGGGCTATAACATCATCAGTGGATTACTATGGGATGGATTCATAATTTGAATGGACTACTTGGGTGGTGACTGCAAGCATGTTAGGCACTATAGCTGTCCTTGCCCACCACCCACTCCACACACACTCCCTCAGCTTGGTGACTTCTCTGAGCTGAGAAGCGTTCCTCAGCCATACCATGCCCTTCCTTCATGATGTTTCTGCCTCAGAGAAAGCCATCGGGGGACCAAGACCTCTGAAACCATGAGTCAAAATAAACCTTTCCTCCTTTAAATTGTTCATGTCAGGTATTTTGGTCACAGCACCAAAAGGCTAACTAACACGCCCGTCCATCAGCACACCCACCCACCCACGGTGTGCAGTTCTGCTTGGGCAGCCAACCAGCCACACCCAGGACCTTGGGGGCAGCCAACCAGCCACGCCCAGGGCCTTGGGCTCCCCCTGCCACATCCAGACTCAGAGATGAGAAGCTGCCAGAAAGACTCAGGCAAAGGTGCCCGTCTGCCCAGAGGACAGGAGGACAACAGACAAACTCCCTCATCCTTCCTCCCTTTCTCCCCACAACTCATCCAAAATGAGGCTTCTCCACACCACAGGTCCAGAGGCATCCCAGATGGGTAAGGGAGGACACTGCCTTGAGACTGGCTCGGTCTCCTCACAGCTTCCATTACACTTTCCCTCCCCTCCTTCCAAACAAAGCCTGCATATCTAATCATGGCATCAGTGACATTGTCTAGACAGTGCTAACAGTGTTCTGGTCTCACCTGTTTTTTCTTCCCTGAACTTCTACTCCCACCCCCTATCTTCCTTCCTATCTGAGGCATCTACTCCCTTATGCTGAGTAGACTTCCTGGAATGTGGTGGCTGCCCTGAATCCATCCTTTGAGGTGGGTGTTTTAGTTTATATCAATGATATTGTATCGTGCATCTCACTCCCTTTCTCAACCTCAGCATTTGGCCCCTTGCTCCTATGAGAAGGCTTATCTATGCCTGGCTGTCACCTCTAATGCTGCATAGATGTCTTGTCATTGCCACAAGTAACTCCCCTACCTGCATCACCAGGAAGTGGGCAAGCGACTCACTATGGTTTGGATGTGGCATGTCCCCATCAGTAGTCATGGTGAGATCTGATTGCCGATGTCAGTGTTGAGAGGCACGGGGCCTCTAAGAGGTGTTAGGATTTGGATAGGAGGTGTCTTCCAAAACCTCGTGACACAATGCAAGAATTTTTAGAGGTGAAATGATTAGATTAGGAGAGCTGCAACCTAATGGGTGGATCAATTCACTTGAATGGATTAACTGGGTGGTGACCATAGGCAGGTAGGATGTGGCAAAATGAAGGAGGACACTGGGGGAATGTCTTTGGGGTTTATATTTGTCCCTGGTGAGCAAGCTCTCTGCTTCCTGACTGTCATAAACGGGACAACTTTCCTCCGCCACACCCTTTTGACATGACATTCTTCTGCCTCACCTGTGGCCCAGAGCTATGGAGCTGGCCAATCGTGGACTGAACCTTTGAAATCATGAACCCCAGATAAACTTTTCCTCCTCCAAGTTGTTCTTGCCAGGTCTTTGGATCACAGTGAGGCAAAGCTGACTTACTCAAGAGGTAATTAGGTCATGAGGGCCCTGCACTAATGAGGGATTAATGTATTCCTGTGAGCAGGGGTCAGTCACTGAGAGAGCAAGTTGTCATGAAGCATCTCGCTCACCCTCTCCCTCCTCTCTTCTGCAGGAGCCCGCACACTCTTCTCACACGCACCCCCACTGTGTGAAGCCTTTAATCACGTCATGACAGTGTGAGGTCCTTGCCACATACAGCCACTCAATCTTGAACTTCTTTGTCTCCAGAACTATAAAGTCAATAAACCTCTTTTTGAAATCCTCCTCCTTCCCCTGCTTCTATGGCCCTGGAGGAAGACAGACAGGCTTTTCTAAACCTGAAGTGTATGTTCCTGTGATGCGAATTAGACTCTGTACAGTAGAATGATAAGGAGACAGCACGCAGGTCACTAAAGGCTCCTATCAAACATGGGGTGTTAGGAGCCCACATCTCAGGCTTGGAGGGTGATGCAGACAGCCCTGTAGCCAAGTCCTTCCTCCATGCATCTGAGAGCTTAGGCCACTTCCAGACCTTTGCTGTGATAATTGTGGTAAACATGTTGCCATTCACTTTGGTTTTTAGAAACCCTGAAATTTTAGCTTGCTTTATCAAAATACACTTGCAGTTATTAAGACACTGGTACTAGTCATAACCATGAAAAAAAAAAGTAACTTGCAAATAAATTAGGTAGCTCTAACCTCCTTGTCCACAATGAAACAAAACCCTCAGATAGAATTCAAGGTATTCAGCCACCAGGACAGCATCCAGTCGTTCCCCATGTACAGCTTGTGTGATTGGAAAGGGAAACCAGTGCCCATCCTTATTGCATGGATTCTTCTCCTCTACACTGCCCACAGAGTCCACAACAAAGCTCCCAGCAAGGGTAAACCCACAGTCAGGGTAAACCCATAGCTTCAGAGGGGGCCTTCCCAGGGCCCTGCAATGCAGCTATGGAAAAACTCAGTCCTAAATACACGGTCCACCCAGTCTGACTCACAAACTGACTTCACATATTTGCATGCATGCACAAACACGTGCATACACATGCACACTGCACACAATAGTTGATGAAGAAACTGCCTAAGCCCCAAACATGGAAGACATGCCCTCAGCCAAGGCCACTCCCTTCAGGTTGTTGCTGGGTTCTGTCTTCAGGGTCCCCTGCCCCACTCAGGTCACAGATGCTGCTTTGAAGTCACCCTGTATGTGGGGTGGTGAAAGGGCTAGAGAGTTCCTTGGGCTGGGAGCTTGGCCAGCTCCATAAAGCCCTCTGTTTCCCAGCCAGTCCTAAAAGGTGCTCCCTCCCCATCAGGACACAGCAGCACATTGAGAACAGGTGGCAACCCCATGTGTCCCACAGCCCAGCATCTTCCTGGAGTTATCTGGACCCTGGCTGAGGATGTAAGGCACCTGCAACTCTCCGCAGACCTCAGCATGGAGCTGTGGGTGGGGGAGGTGCAGGATTTGTACAAATCACACAATGAGGTGGAGTCAGTGAGCTCCCTGCATCCCCAACCTGTCTCCAGCAGGCAACCAGCCTGTGCACCTGGCCAAGCCCCAGAGGCTGGATCCAAGCTGCTCATCAGAACGGGCTCTCTCCTCTGCTGTGTACCAGGGAGGTGGGGAAAGGCCTGGCCACTTCCTGATGCATTATTTATTAGGAGCGCATTAACTGTGGGTGACATCACAGGCATTCGAAGGTAATTTGTGGAAAGTATTGTTAAAGCAATTGATTTGCAGATTCCTTGACAGGGAAAACCAAGCACCAGAGCTGGCAGAGATGTGACACGGAGACTTTTTTTTTTTTTTTAATGTATTTGGGGATAATTGATTGAAAGCTAAGCTGTGTAGCCACTGAGAAAATGAGATTACTCTGTCTGTTATGCAAAGAAATCATATATTGTACAAAACAGCAGGATGAAGAGCCGTCAAGACAGCTGGGAGGAACTTGTTCCTTCTGGGGGAAGGAGGGGGCGAAGTCTTTCTTTCCCAATTCAAGTCAAGTCCTTCACATTCCCTTCAACCTGAAAGCTCCATCCCTCCTCCTTCCTGTGTCCCTTTACCCCTCCACCTGCCCCCCATGAATCCTGAGCCTCAGTCAGACCCCTTCTTTCCTTATACCCCCAGTGGGGCTTCTGGGTCCTGAAGATCCCCATCAACAGTGACGTCAAGGATGTTAAGGACCACACTGGCCAGACTTGATTCTCAGACGTTCAGGGCCACCAAGGCAGCAGCTGGAACAAGGGAGGTGCAGGGTTGGGGAGCTCTCCCTGTTCTGCATACAGCAGTCAGCACCCGACACTGGACCCGCTCAGACCCCCAATAATCCATGCAGTACCTTCTTAGCCCACAAAACTGGCTGCCACTTCCTCCTCTGAACTCTCCAGGCCTCCAGGATGGCTGCAGCTCCTTTGCAAAGCCACAGCAGTGTCCAACTGCCCTCAACTTCCCCAACACATACATCTGCTCACACCTTTGTCAGTGTCAGCCTAGCTGCTGCCATGCTCCCCACGTTTTGTCTACCAAGCCAGCACAGTCTTCCCAGGTGTCCTTCAAATGCTTCCTCCTCCAGAAAGCCTTCTCTGACTGTAAGGTCAGGCACCGGTGACCAAAAGGAGGCAGGTTAAAAGCTGCTGATAAGGCTTTATTGAGATTCACTCCTGGGCGAGACCCTCCAGCCCAACAAAGCGGGTCTGGGTGAGTCATACCCAGGCTCAGCCAGATTGGAATTTCATCAGGCTTAGGGCAGGAAGGGAGGGCTTGGGACAGGAAAAGGAGGGTTTTTTAGGGTCCCTTGTCCTCCTGGGGTTGGTCAAGGGATCTTGCTGAGCTCCATGTCCTTCCAGGATTGGTCAGGAGACCCTGCTGATTGACAGGTGTTTATCACTGCTTGTCTGTCGGCGCCTGAGGGGTTGTTCATCCGCATGCGCAGGTTGCCTGGTGCATTTTTCCCTTAGCCACCTCAAACCAACCTAACATCCCAGCCTTTTTGATGATACAGGGCGCTGAATTCCATCTGGCTACTTCCTGCTGGCTAGGGGCGCTGGGCGGAAAGGTGTGGCTTGGGTGTCAGTTTGGTAGGGAGGCGACCATAGGGGTGTAGGAGCATCTGCTGGTAGGTAACTCTGGCCATCTCATCCATGCACTTTCGGGCAAACCTGAGGATGCAGGGAGCAATCATTAATAGAAATCCTATTACTAACATAGGAGTGAGAATGGGAGTCAGCCATGAAATGAGGGCAGAGTTTAGCCAGCGTGGCCAAGGGTCATTTGATTGTTGCTGTTTAAGTCTTTCACCCAAACGATAGAGGGTGTCGACATTCTTTTCGACCAATCCAGTTTCATTGATATAGTAGCAGCATTCTTCTTTCAGGAATAGACATGGTCCTCCTTTGTCTGCCGTCAGGAGATCTAGGGCTTGAAGGTTCTGTAATGAAACTTGGGCAAGAGATGTTATTTGCCTTTGTAGGGAAGCGAGAGAAGCGGCTGATGCCTCTACTGCTTCCCGAAATTGTTGTTCAAGCTTCTGAGTAACGGTTACTGCATAACCAAGTCCTCCTGCCCCCAGTCCAGAGGCAGCAAGGGAGGAGGCCAGGGAGAGTCCAACTACTACTGGTAGAAAGACGACCCTTCTTGTCCTGGAAAGGGAGGTGGTGACATACCATGTTAATTCAGCCTCAGTGTACAGAGTTAATTTTGGAACCAAGGTGGAAGGAACACAGAAAGCAAAAGGCATGTTGAGGCTTAGATTTTTTGTTAGGGTACCATTGCACCAGAAAAAGAACCCCGGCGGAGCAAAGGTTGGGGAAGAGATCCGAATGATCTGGTCACAGGGTGCCGAACCAGAGGAAGTGTAGCAGCAGGGGAAATTCCCTGATGAGTTATGAAAAAGAGGTACTTCCTCAAAGGCTGGACAGGGGGGCCCTTGGGATATGGTTGAGGTATTGAGAGGAAGATCAATGGGAATCGCAGTCAATGGAGTATGATCCAAACCTGCACAGAGGAAACAGTCTGAAATGTTACTAACTTTGGATAAATTGAGGAGCTGAAGGCCCTGACGTATTAGGACCATCCATGAGAAAGGGTCAGCTTTAGGATGGGCAACTGCATCCAGTTGGTATTGGAGTTCCTTCTCTGGCCCCTGGATGGTTATGTGAATTTGAGGGAACACTTGTACATAAGTTCTCCAGATTCTGATAGAGGCTGAGGGGAGCTGGGCAAAACCCCAAGAATAAAATTTACCATCAACACCGGAAGCCCATTTCGGATCCCATGGGTCCCAAATAGTTAACTTGGTGTGTGCTCGTTTCTCATAGCAAGGCTTATCTAGGAAGCGTTTTTTGCATGAATTATAAGGACACCCGCCATAGGTGTCAGGCCAGCGCTTACAAGATTCCTCAGTTTGGTCTGATATGAAGCATAGCATTGCTGCACACAGGTGGGACGAGGTGGCCCTGTTGAATCCAGTAATGTTAAGGGTGACCGCTCGATTGCAGCCAGTGGAAGGGCAATCGCCTTGACCCATAAACTGAGAGCGGGTGGTGCCATCCTGGTGCCATGTCGCTAGGATGTAAAAGCGCCATCTGTGGGTTGGGATAGAAGCTTGAGAGAAATTCATAATTAGTAAAAGAAGAAGAGGGTTAGTGAGAAATCTTGAGTTTGGTTGGCCCCAGCGTGATGGAAGTCCAGGACTGGACATTTGGAACAGGCACCTTTTTAAGGCAGGAGACATGGTACCCGGGGGAGTGGCCCAAAAGCTTGGCCCACCATTGGGGTAGTAAGTATGACTGTATGGGGTCCCGTCCAGCAAGGTTTCAATGATTGAGGATGCAGCTCTCAAAGTAAGACTGTGTCACCCACTTGAAGAGGGTCCAATCCGGTTTGTGGTTGCGCTGGATTTGAGGCAATGGATGACCAAGGAGGGCACCGGTCTGCGTATTCCCTTAGGAGTTTGAGTAGAAGTGTCAGATAGGGCAGGTAGGACACAAGGGGAGGAGGAGTGGCTGGAAAGCTCTGGCTGATTAAGAAAGGGCACCCATAGAGTAGCTCAAAGGGGCTCAGACCTGAGGGGGCTCTGGGGACTGCCTGAATTTGGGTGAGGGCCAATGGAAGGAGATGGGCCAGGAGAGCCTGAGTTCAACAGCAAGTTTAGTGAGATGATCCTTGAGAATGCCGTTAGCCCTCTCAACCTTACCCAAGGATTGGGGCCGGTGTGGGATGTGGAGCCTCCAAGTGATGCCAGGCCTTTGGAGACTAGTTGAACAACTGCAGAAGTGAAGGCTGGACCATTGTCTGACTTGATGGTGGCGGGAAGTTCCAAACCTGGGAATGATCTGCTGGATGAGGATGGAGATGACGGTGTCAGCGGTTTCCCTGGATGTAGGGAAGGCTTCTATCCAACCTGAAAAAGTATCAACCAAAGTAAGTGGGTAGCACAGCTTTTTGTGCTTAGGCATGTGAGTGAAGTGGATCTGCCAGTCTTCGCCTGGCTGGTGGCCCCACATCTGACGCCTGGGGACTTTAGATTTGATGCCCCCTGTGGGGATAGTGTAGAGCAGACAGAACAAGCGGAGTGTACCTGCTGGAGAGTGGTTCTCATCCCTGGGAAGTAAAAGAGGGGTTGTAAAACTGAAAAAGGGGTCAGGGAGGGTTTAGGTGTGGGCAGAGTCTCTGGAGCCAGAGGAGTTGGTCATGAGTCGTAGACAGCAGGAGAAGGGGGAGGGGAGGGTGCAGGTGTGAGAGGAGAGGAGGGAGAGGATTGGCCTGAGTAGGTGGGGTGGGGGACAGAAAGGTGGGGCTGAGAGCAGCTCCGGTGGATCTGAGAATGAGGAACGAGATGTGAAGAACAATGGGGAAGGGGTTTGGGATTTTCCCTAGCAAGGAAAACTTGAGCAGTAGAACAGGTAGAGCAGAGGGGAGAACAGGAGCGAATAGCCCAAAAAGCCTGTAAGGGACTTCGGCCCACTTTCCTGCCTGGTAACAGAAATTGTCCACATCAATGAGGATGTGAAATTCAGAAGTTCCTTCTGGGAGCCATTTTGACGCATTGTCTAAGTACGACGCAGGTCTTGAGTGAGTCCTAATTTGGCAAAAGGCAACCCAAAGGAGTTTGGGGGTCTAAGGAGGACTCAGTGTTTCCCATGACCTTCCAGCACCCTCAGGGGTGGGTGGGAGCAGGAAAAGGCGTCCCTAATTCTGATCACACTCATCTGAGGGCTGGGGCAGGGGTTGAGGCATCCTTGCAACTCACCGGGGACCCAAACGGATCAGAATGAGGATTGGGACGTCTCTACAGTTCCCAGGGCCTTGAGCCGAACAGGCAGGGTCTATGGCATATGCATGACTTACAGATAGACCCCCCGGATGGAGAGGGGCTGGAAGGTCAGGGGAAACAAGGGAACTTACCCCACTCCTGTCAGCCCAGATGAAGGGAGAGAGAAAGAAACAGCAGCTTAGGAATTTCCTGGTTCATTTGAAAGGGGAGGGTGGACTTCTACCCCAGATATAAGATATGGGGGAGGCCCGAAAAGCCCACCTGGGTTTCAGCACCAGATGTAAGGTCAGGCACCAGTGACCAAAAGGAGGCAGATTAAAAGCTGCTGAAAAGGCTTTATTGAGATTCGTTCCCAAGCAAGACCCTCCAGTCCAACAGAGTTTGGGTCTGGGGGGATTGCACTCAGGCTCAGTGGGATTGGAATTTTATGGGGTTTGGGCTTGGGACAGGAAAGTGAGGTTTTCAGGGTCCCTTGTCCTCCTGGGGTGGGTCGGGGGATCTTGCTGAGTTCCATGTCCTTCCAGGATTGGTCAGGAGACCCCGCTGATTGACAGGTGATTATCACTGCTTGTCTGTTGGTGCCTGATGGGTTGTTCTTTTGCGTGTGTACATTACCTGGTGCTTTGTTCCCTTAGCCACCTCAAATCGACCTAATACTGACTATCCAGGCAGACGGTATCGAGTGCACCCTCCCTCCCAGCACCCATGTGTTCCCTGTAGGCTCTCCCTCTCCTGGATTATGAACTCAGAGTTTGCAAAATGGTAAATGCAAGCCTGCCATGAATCCATGCCACAGGAATAAAGGAAGAAATGAATGAACCACTGCCAGATTACAGTCCTGGGTCCTTTGATTTCTCCCAAGTCTGAGGAAGTCCTAGGCCATGTAGCCTGGTCATGGTGGGTTGTGGGGAGGCAAGGTCCAAATTTTACCAGCTGTTCCCATTGCCCCGGGGGTCAAAGGATCAATCAAACCTTGAGCTCCCTGGGCGGGTGATCTCACAATCACAGGGAAGCCGGGTTCGAAAGAAATCAGAGCCAACAGTCTGAACCCAAAGTACATGCAGAACATCATTAGGCTTAGCCAGCACCCCGAGCCTATAGATTTATCCAGTTAGAAACAAAAAAAGTGCCTTTTGAGTCCGAACAAGTTAGTCCTACCACTCACCTAACTCACCTAACTAACTGTAATCTTTGGCAAAGTCTCATTAAGCCCATCTTTCTGCCTATTGAATGGGAGTCATATTAGCACCAACTCTGAAGATGGCCATGAGGATTCCATCTGCAATGCTTTGAAAACCCTCTTGTTCTGCTCGGTGTAGATTAATGGAGGTCTAAAGAGATCAGGTGAGGTATGAATGCTTGACCCACTTGCTCTCCCTAAGGATATGTCAAAGGACACAATTATAGCACATTTAAAGATCTCAATTGGCTTTACTTGCAATTCTAGAATTGAGCTGAGCAGCACTTCATTCCATAAAATAGAATGACTGATCCAACGATCTGAGCAGAGAAGCCCAGCTTTACAGACAGAAAAGGCAGAAGTCCTTCATACATCTTGGAGATTAGTGCTCTATCTGATGTGCATGTGGCAAAAATTTGCTCCCAAAAATGTAGGCTCTCTCTTCACCTCATTGATTGTCTCTTTTACTGAGAAGAAGTTTTTTAGTTTAAATCCAACCCATTTATTAATTCTTGATTTTAATTCTGGTGCTTTAGGAGTCTTGTTAAAGAAAGTCAGAGCCTAATCCAATGTGATGAAGACTTGGACCTACTTTTTCCTTTATTAGGCACAGGGTCTCTGGTCTAATTCCTAGGTCCTTGATCCACCTGGAGTTGAGGTTTGTGCATGGTGAGAGATAGGGGTTTAGTTTCATTTTGCTGCACATGGATTTCCAGTTCTCCCAGCACCATTTGTTGAAGAGGCTATCTTTTCTCCAATGTATGTTTTGGCACCTTTAAAACTTAACACCAAAAAAACAAACAACCCAATCAATAAATGGGCTAAGGAACTGAACAGACATTTCTCAGAAGATGACATACAATCGATCAACAAATATATGAAACAATGTTCGACCTCTCTTACTAGAGAAATGTAAATCAAAACTACTCTAAGATTTCATCTCACGCCAATCAGAATGGCAATTATCAAGAATATAAACACCAATAAGTGTTGATTGAAACAGGCCTGTTTGGGAAACAAGACCTGTTACTTCTCTCTCCCAATTTCTCCTGAAGGTCAGATAACAGCTTCCCTTGGGTTTGGTAATGTGGAAGTTTAGCAGGACTAACTCCACTTTGGTTTTTAGTTTGGTCTGTTGGGTCCTAGTGCAGGACCCTGGTCCATCAATGGCCTTCACTCATGTTTATTTAACAAGTAGAAATTCTTGCTATGACTTCTTCTCCCAATGGCTTTATTCATAGAATCACACTGAGAAAATATCCACCACCCTAGTTTAGATTTTCATTCCTATTTTACATATTAGGAATCTGAGCCTCATAGAATAACTTAGTTGCTCAAGATTACTTGTTAAAAGGATTCTGGCCAGACCTGGCCATACCAGTACCCAGGATCATTGTTCCCTAGAAGGTAGCTCCTGCCTCCCCTTAAGGGGAACTGGGGGAGAGCAAGGTTTGTTAGAATTCTCTCAGAGTCCCCAGTGCAACCACAGTGGAAGGGTTGAGCTATGACACTGTCTACTTCAAATATTCACATTTTCCAGCTCACCCTGTGGCTTTACACAGTAAACCTGACTCTAGGGTAGGAGGAAGGAGGCTTCCCCAGAGAACTCATGCTGGAGGGCCACCAACTGTCAGGGTTTGCCTGGGGGTGAGAGGGACACAAAGGAGGAGAGCCCCCAGGCAAACCAGGACACACTGGTCATGTTAATCCTAACCACCTTTAAGAAGCTGGAAAATGCATAATGGTGCATTCAAAATATTTTGGTAACAGAGACACATATCGTTAGTCCCATTCACTTTAAATAAGTCCACATTTTCTAAGGCAACATCTGGAAAACAGAGCAAGAAAGCTTCTCTTTTTTTTAATTGACACATAATAATTGTACATATTTATGGCATACAGTGTGATATTTCAAAACATGTATATAATATGTGATAATCAAATCAGCATAATTAGCACCTCTATCACCTCATTTATCATTTCTTTGCTTTACTTTCAAAATCCTCTCTTTTAACTATTTTGAAATCTACAGTTAGTTATTAACTATAGTCACCCTACTGTGCTATAGAACACTAGAATTTATTCCTCCCAACTATAATTTTGTACCCATTCACTATTTTCTCCCTATCCCTGACCTTGCACCCGAGCCTTCTGCCTCCCAGCCCAGCATTGTTTCATGAAATGAAGCATCCCCACCCTTCCTCCTCCACCCAGAGCATCAGGGCCAACACCTGAATTATGAGCATAACTATCTAGCAAGACTCATCTTAAGGCCTTCCACAAATTTATATCATCTTCATTTCTTCCCCTATATAGTGCTTGGAATTCCATTGAGAAGGGCTTAATATGCAAATCACTCACCTCCTTTAAACAAGATAATCATTTATTTACTTTAGTCCTAAATTTTGTCCTTTGTCATGGACAGTGGAATTTGAGATTTGGTTATGAGATAAGGTACAAGTTTTAACTGCCTGAACCCCCAAGGAAAATCTATAGATCTTTATTATTTGAGGGTTTAGGGCCAGGCTTAGAAAAGCTAATTATCTAGCATATACCCTTCCCAACCGCAAGTTCCCAAAGCTCAATTCTCAGCAACATGGCTCCTTAACACTCAACCAGAACCCCAGGGCCTTCTCAAGCCAGTCCAGTTCCACCTAGCTTCACTCATGGCTCCTGAGTAGCATACCCTGGACTAAGCTTGGAGAAATAAAATGGCACTGTGACAGGGACATCAGAGTGTCTCCCCGTGTAGTGGAAACACAGTTAGGTGAACAGTAGGAAGACATAACAGCACAAGTACAAGGAAGACAGGCTAGGAGAGACACTGATCATGCAGTCTTGGGCCAAAAGAAAAAGGAAAGCTGTGGGAGTTAAGAACTTTGGCCCAGATGTGAAAGATCTGCAGCCCTGTAGGCAGAGAAACCCCCCTTCTCACCACAGCCGAGGA